CTTTTTCATGTATTTAATTATTCATGTTGTTCAGAAACAAAACATTATCCCTTACTTTTAAAAATTTTCGGTATTTTTAATATACATTTACATCTAATGTATGTAAATAATACGAAAAGTGTGTTTTATGTTAATTTCAAGAAACATATTGCGATTAGAATAGCTTTTATATGAAAAGAATCTCGGCATGCAGCATATTACATTTTCGTCGTAGCATGCGATTTAAATCAGCATTTGAATAGACTAATCTACTTAGGGGAAATGAAATTTTTAAAATCTAATATTCGCCTTCACTGGCGTGCGAAACATAATATAATTCGTAACTTACATTAGATGGAATATTATGGTATATATTTACGTAATAGATACTTAAATATATAGGGTGTTTCAAAAAAATTGTGAAAAGCTTCAAGGTTGCAGTTCCTTGATAAAAATAAAGTATTTGTTTATTATACCGTGTCTCAAGTGGCTCGCCCCTATACCTTTTTATTTTTTCATGAAATAAAAACTAGATTTGGTATGTTAGTATATGACAGTAAATTAGGGATTGATTAACGTATTCAATTTATTTCGGTCACTTCCTGTTCCTCCGGAAATGACTACAACTTTTGATTTTCAAATGACACCATGGGTATTTTACTATATATACTTTATTCGATAGAAAATGGCACTCTGATTAGAATAAAATATCATATGTCAATTTTTGACATTTTCATGGTTTATTTGAAATTGCAACATGCAATATCAAGTGTGTGGTACCAAATTATTCCTAAAAAAATGCTTTTTCCAATGGCTAATGAGCCACCCTCGTTCCATTTGAAAAAATCGAGATATGATTACAAATACGATTTGGGTATTTTTTAACCGACCAGGACAAGACACTAAAAACATTCGTCTAAAACAGACGATCAAATCTATTTCTCTAAGGCTCCTTGATTAAAAATTAGTGTTTTTGACACAGCCAATGCCACTTTAGATTGAAATTTAAAATACAATTTTATTTTAAACGAAAATGTCAAAAGTTGACATATGATACGTCTTTCTATTCAGAGTGTCATTTTCTATCAAATAAAGTAAAAAAATACCTTAATACCTTATCTGAAAAAATAAAAAAGTTTGTAACGTTTTTAGTTCGTTACATGTCTTTTTTACATATAATATATGATGTCTGGCCTATCGTCACCGGATTCCCTCTCGTTCAGGCCTGATCATTTTGTTGGTACGCTTGGCGTAATTTTTACGTTCCCTAGTCGCCAACCCTGCTATCGTTTCACTATTCTGTGGAGGCGCGCGCTGTCAACATTGCTTCTGTCAACTCTCTGTGATTTAACGGCACTTTTGGTTCGACCGTTTGGCCTGTCAGACGCCATTAGTCCCAGTTTTTAGAAATGGTGATTATTTAAATCTTGCTGTATAATCTGAATCAGCTGCTATTTCGAGGCTACAGGTAAAGATGAGTTATTACCTTTTATAGATTCGATATTATTATTGAATATTTTTAGGGTAGAGTTACGGATGTCCCAACTTGTATTTGTATTTTGCTGGCACGTTGGCGTCCCTTTTCTTTTGTCCTCCAGAATGTCACATGGAAGAAAGGACAGGTTGTTTATTATTTATTGAGCCCTCGGAAGTATTTCGAGGTAGGTTTATTTTGTTTATTAGACCTTGTTTGGTTTTAAACAAGAGTTTCATATTTTAGGGTCCAAGGTACGGGTAGTGTCTTATGTACGGACATTATCTTATGTACGGATGTCCTGTGGACGAGTGTCCCCAGTAAGAATGATTTTTTCTTACATATAAGTGCCACAGCGTGGATGTAGCTTGAGTCCCATGCTGCTTCGTTCCCAGCTATAAGCTAGTTAGTTACGGCTGTATCAATTCATGGTGTCCTCATTCTGGCCCCTTTGGTTGTGTTGGATGGCTGAGTACAGAGATGCGAGACCACCTCACGCTGTTACTGTTTAAAGCAAGATTACATAAAGAACAGCTAAGTGTAGATTTAAGTTCTAGTTTTACATTTAACATTTAAAACATTTACAGTCTTAAACAATAACGTACATCTTAAATAATATCGTACAGACTATGTTTAGTGGTTAGATTGTTAAGAACATTCATGTCGATTTAATATTTAATATAATAATTAATACTAAATATAATTTAGATCTTAGGTTTCATTGCATTACATCTTGTAATGGTATTACTTTTATAGATATTATTATCGCACTATTTTAACAGATGAATAACCAAACATAGATTCTAGAATCTACAGGTTGCAACATCTTCGATTTAGCATCATATGGAATATATCAAATTAATTAAAGTAATGCTACATTTCATATATTCTCTTAAACTTTACATGTCTTGTATTTTATCGTAGTTGTTTTCATTGATATTTAGTACGACTCTTACCACCACTTTCTTTGACATAAACCACTATATATTTATTAGAACTCTACAATGTCATGTACCATCTAAGAACATCATGAATAAATATAGTCATTAGTTTTAAGTAATATACAACTGTGTTTTCTTTCTCTGTACATGCCTGGCGCCCAATATTTATAATTTCGAGTTATTATTGTTAATTAGTTTCTTTCCAGTGAAATACCTTATCCACGACTGCTCTACCAACGAAAAGCTGCCGTTCGCAGTGATAATGTTTTAAAAAAACGCTACAAGTTATAGGGGTGAACCACTTTTGAGACGCACCCGGTATAAATATTCAGTCGACCTATGTTAATTATTAAGAAGATATGGCTATACAAATATGGAGAAAATATAATATTTTTATGTTTTAAACACGAAAATCGAGAGAATGCAATTTTATGGGAATATTACTACCACCAAAGCACACTATCTACATATTTTTCCATATTTTTATAATGAGTGGTGGTTAAAATTTTTAAAATTATTTATACATTTCTAGAAAATCAAAAATAGTTAATTCTCCTTAAGTCCCTTCTGGTTCCATTTCATAAACATATTTCAAAGTCAAAGGACTATGAAAAATGTCACTTTAAATGTCATAACTAATAAACATAACTGCGCCCCTGGACTGCTTCGAAAATTCTTCATTTACCACCATTTAATTCGATTCCAGCAATATTTATTTTCTTTTCTGGACGCTCTTTCATCAGAAAACTTATATCGGAACTCCTATTTCCTTTCCCTGCAGCACCAATTCCATCTTCTTTATCCAATTATATCGAATTTTATACACTTTCCCCGTTTATTTACCGAAAAATCCGTCCATTCCTCTCATTTTCTCAGTCCCAACGTTCCAACATAATTTTTCGTGCTAAAAAAATGCAAGGAGACATCGAAAGCACGCTGGAAATTGGCGAACTTCAAATGGCCTAATTTTAATACGATTGGGTAATTGAGTTTGGATCGAGAAGAAACTTCCGGAATTCATAAATTTTTCAGGTATATGTTCTCGGCCCGTGGCCGGGGAAAATCTTTAAAACTAATGAAAAATTTATGGGAGCGCTATCTTTTGGTGAGTTTCCAAACTTCCAGCGAAATATTGGAGTTTTGCCGTACAGAAATATGTTTTTCACGTCGATGTAATGATGTGGGGTAATCATAGAGGTTAGCATCTATATCATGGTAGTTATTACAGATTTTTTAAAGAAAATTTATACAGGGTGGTCTTCTTTTTAGTTAGGATACTAGAAAAGATGTAAAAAATTGATAATATCCAATTATTTACAAAAAATATTACATCACGATTAATCAAAGTAAAGCAAATAAATTATTAAAATTATAAACTTTGGTCACATTTTCAATTTTTTAATACGACGACTTGAAATTCTAAAATTTTTAAATAAAAGTATTTGCATAAAAAAATCGATACCAATATTCTTATTCTATCTATAGTCACGCATGCATTATCTAAACAGGTGCATTAGGTAAATGTCTATTACTTTGAAATATAGCAAATAAATGCTCTAATTTCCATTTTTTCAGAAACTCCTTTAAACAATCCATATATCCTAAAATTTGTCCATAAAAAATGACAAATGCATGTTAATAATGATCACTAATTTGTTATACGATATGCGTTTAAAAAGCAAATTATGCAAAATTCCAAACAACAAAACCCGTGCGTACTATGATGTGCGACCTATGAAATGCGACGTACGACTGATCGGACTGCCGACTGATTGTATATACCGTCCTTCGTCATCGTCTTTGCATGTCGTTATTATTTTTCATCAAAAGAGTATTTAGCTATTGGAAAAATGGCCATGTTTCTTGAATGAAGTACTTCCTAGCGTATTTTTCTTATTATCTTGAAACAAAGTAACTTGCACTTGGTTGAATGAAAATAGATTCAATAGAAATTTTCGAATTTTTCAAGAGAACCAGTTTTCTTGAGTTAAGAGAGTTTTTCTTCAGGCAAAATATTTTCTTTTACGCTAAAATAAATTCTCTTGCCACTAAATTTTTTTTTCAAGAACGATGACGACTTTAGTTTAAGTCTATCGTTTTTATCAGTGTTGGGCCCGCTTAGCCAACAATGGGACCAACTAAAAAGAGAGTATCTAAATATGTGAGGAAGTCTACACCATGATTGGAAATGGTTGAATAAGCTGAAAATGATAATGATGATGATGATAATATTTGTTTAAATAATATTCATATCTTAATACTTCCTAATTTTTTAGTCAAGAAATACTAAAAAAATCAGCTCAATGACAAAATAGGCTAAAAAGTTATCAAATCTACATGATTTCTGATTCACTGACATCGATTTCTTCAAGATTTGTTGAATAAGGCACGGTAACTTTGTCTAACAGTTTTTTAATTTTTTTCCAAAAGAAAAAATATATTGACTAGTAAGCAAATAAATCATTAATACCTTTTTTCTATTTGGAAGTTTCTAATTTCCCGCGCCGGGCCCAACCTACGGCCAGTAACGCGCGCTTTCCTCCACACCTATCGATTTTCCAAGAGCGACGCCGATCGTCTCTCGCTTTTCCACCAGCTGATCGATTTCCACCGACCCAGGGAAAGCTCCCAGTTAGTTTTTCCTCAAACATTATCAAAAACTGGGCTTCTAGATCGCGAGATCTCAGTTTTGGCGACCTAGAAAACAGTCGGTGGTGAAAAATTCGCGTTAAAAATTGTGTATCTATCGCAAATTTAAATATTTTTAACTCAAGGTAGGTGAAAATGTACTTTATTTAAAGAAATAAACAATATCCTTATAAAATGAGATAAAAGACATCTCATTCATTTTGATGAATATATAAAAATAAATCCTCATTTTACAAGAACTTTTCACAAATATTTTAGTTTAAAGCAATGTTGTTTTGGGTCTAAAGGTATTTTTGCAATAAGAAATGTTACTAACAATTATTTTATTAATGGATTAACTTAAAATATACAATAAATTCAGATATTTTATTCTTATTCAATATAACATAGTCAGAAAAATGAATCTGAATTGTTTCTATGGTTATTTAAGAAGAACACATATTTTCTATCCAGTATATTTTATCGATTATTTTCCTGAGATTATTTTTAGATTTCGATTGGTTGAAAATTCAATAATTTTAAATTTTTATGCAAACAAACCACAAGTTTGACATTGTTTGTGTAAAAATTACAGAATTATTTATTTCGTAGTGATTTTCTCAATATTTTTATCTACAAAAATTATTTCTTTTTAATCAATTTTACTTATACTGTCCATTACAATATTTTATGCATGAAGCTAAATATTGTAACTTTCAATATCTGCAAGAATTTTAAGTTTTCTTTCTTCTGCCTTGGTCTCTGATCGTTTTATTGAATTTTCAAGATTTTAATTTCAGATAAACTGCTTTTGAAATCTCTTCGTCTAGCCACATGCTCTTCATTTTGAATTTAATAGAATTGTCGTCATGGTCAATGACATATTTGTTATATTAATATTATTTTAATATTTCATATTTATTTTCAATATTACTACTTATTTTTGTTTATCCATTTTAATTTTTGTTGAACTATGCATATATTTTTCTTTATAAATAATTTTTTAATAATATATTTCATAACTTTTAAGCAAAATATTTTAACTTCTATAGGATGGCTCACGAAAGTGTGACTGGATCGGGATGATATTTTTTTAAGGGAAACCTTGTATATTATTGCATTTTTGGCTTCCTTTCAGGTCACTTTAAATAATCCTAAGATACGAGTAAATATATTTTGATGGTTTCAGAGATATTAATAAATAAATAAAAAATAATATAAATCTCTTCTGAAATCAAAACAATATTAGGTATTTACTTTAGATGGTATGTACTTTACTTTGCTACAAATATGGTAATCCTTAATCATACAGGATGTTCAAAATTCTACGCAAAACTTTCTAAAGTATAAAATATATTTTCTTCGTTTTTTTTTAAACTGGAACATCCTGTATATTATTTTTTCAATAGATAAGGAATTAAAAAATGGGCACTTCTTGTACTTCAGACTATTTTAAAACGTTTAACGAAAAAATAAGAATTTTATGAATGAATTATCCTAAAATATTCAATAATTTCTGATATTTTATATTAATTCAATTTAATATAGTCCAAAATATGATTCTAATATTTCCTATGATTATTTATGAAGAAAAAATATTTTCTATCCAGTATATATTTTGAATCTTTATTTTTATAATATTTTTCTATTGGTATTTTATTTTTATTAAATATTTTGTAATCTTAAAAAGTGTAAAAACATTATCTGTTTTTAACAATTCGACTTTTTTCAATAATATTCTGTTAACTTACTTTCTTTGTTTATGAATTACCCTGTATTACACTGTGTGTAACGTAGGTTGGTGTTTGTTCTGTATGTATCAGATAAAGGGTATGATTAGTGTTTGTTTTGCATTAATACAACAGGAATCACCACTAATAGCTTGTCAATATTGATAAACGAATGGACAGAATGAAATCGTATACACATACACACTTTAGTTAAATAATCAGGGATAATTGCCAATAAAAGAAACAGAGAAATCAAAATTGTTTATTTCAATTGCAACTGTTAAAATTGCCTTATATCTATCAAAAATAGTAGATAAAATAGTACTTTAACCGCAAGGGTGGTTTAAATGATACTTTAACAGCGAGGATAGGTTAAAAACATGGTACAAAGAATACAAGGTATGATATTGCGCAGGTTGGTCGCTACGTCACAGGTTATAACAGGCGCTATTGGTCAGCACGCTCCGCGCGCCAGTTCAAATCGTCAAGATATTGTTATAAACCTGTTTTTTTGTTTATATACCGTCATTGAATTATCGCTAAGCAAGTTACTGTGGACCAGTGCGTAAGGAGTCGGGCTAGGAAACGAGAGACCGGAGTTCGAATCTCGGCCGGGACATAACTTTTTATTTATTTTTTTAAATACTGTTGTATTCTATAGTTTATTTTTGTAGTATAAAAAAAAGAACTATCTATTCTGTTATTTTTAAATCTCCGTTATTAATATAAAATGATTGTTAGTACAATACAAATAATATTCTACTTTTTGAAATGTATCGGGCCCTAATTGTACCTAAAAGTAATATATTTTTAGTGATATACCATATTGTAAACTATTTAATATTTCAGTCACTTAAAAAGTTAATTTGCATTGAATAATTGCCTACCATTAAAGGAAATTTGAGCTATATAATCCTTGATGGGCATATTCTGGGTATGCAAATACTTCCTTTAAATTTTGGGTGTCGTTCAACCGATTTATTCTCAAAACCAGAAACTTCTACATATAAAAAGAAGCAGAGGTCACTAATTATAATAAACTTCACCCTTGGTATTACTTCCACTAATTATAATAAACTTCACCCTTAGAATTACTTCTATCACAATTACAATACGTTCATCTGCATTGGCATTTTCTACTTTTCGATGGGAAACAATAAACTTCCCAATATTTTTTAAATGATGTAACAATTCCTCTTGTGGTTACTTTTCCATAGATATCCTCAACTCTGTCCTCATGTGAATTCAGAGGCAATGAAAATGAAAATTATTTACCATAAACATCGCAAACTAAAAACCTAATAAACAATTTTATACCGAATATAGAAATAAATTCAGTATTCTTACCTATCGTCCAAATCCATGTTAATAGATAATTATTATTTTTAAATATATTTTTGGAACTGCTGGTTTTAGTAATTATTAAATTAAACGACTAAAAAGTCTTAAAAATAAACAATTCTTAACCATAACCCCAAAAAATGCAGATCTCCTGTCAACTTTCTTTATTTTTTATTTATTCATTATTTTCCTAGTGACGTCACAGGTGGTATGCGCGAACTGAACGAAATTGGAGCCGCTATCGATCATACCTTGTATTCTTTGTACCATGGGTTAAAAACGTTATTTCTTCTCGCACATTTTTTAATTGCTTCCATTTTTATAATTTTTTGTATTCCTTTTCATAAGTTATTCGGGATTTAAATGGAAGTAGTTTGGATTATGGCGTTTGTCGCCTCAGCCTGAATATCTGTTGGTAATTTACTTATTTCGTTTTGAGCCATTTCTGGCTTCAATTCAATCAGCAATCGACACGAAAGAGAATTATAAAATATTGACTCAAAACTGACAACTAAAGAGACAGCTTTATTTATTTGTCAAATTACATAGAAACCAACGCAAATCCAGCACAATATTTCTTCTACTCGTAATAAATTCATTGAAATAATAATTTCTGAATATTTTTTAAAACGTAACTCGCTATGGAAAAAATATTGTTTTATACACGACACGATAATAGTTATCGGAAAATATGATACTTTAACAACAGCAAAAAATATGACGTTAATCAAAATTAATAATAACCATCTATCAAATATATTGCCATAGAAACGCTTTTTGATTTTGAAGACCTAGAAAAAAATTCAATTATATTTTTTTTCTCTAAAACGGTATGGAAATTTGAAAAAGTATAAACGGGAATAACCATTTTAGAACAAGTAAAAATATTTTTTTTTATGATGAATGCATTTTTCTCATAATGTCTCCTCCTGTAAAGACAATTCGGGAACATACTGTATAATATATACTATGCCACTGATATTGGACATCAATTATTACAAATAAGCTGTAAGCTTACATGACGTGAGCTGTCAATTGAGAAAATGGACAGAATTTCAGAAAAAAAAACAATATTTTATTTTTCTATTAAAATATCAGCAAAATAAAACACTAAATCACCACAATACACCAAAACACTTTTACTTTTACATTGGACGCGCGTTTCGCTAACCATGTTAGCATATAATACTTAGCATATAATACTAAATACCTTTAGTCAACACCAAAAGTTCCAACCCCCAACTGTAATTAAAATATCAATAATTAATTATTATGATCTGTAAAAGTCTAAAGTAAATACAAATTAAATGTTTGATAATTAAAAGGTAATTAAAAGAAGTAATTGATAATTAAAAGAAGTTAACTATAAGAAAACAAATCAATCATTTAAAACAATATTTGTTCCATGCTGGAAAACAAATAAAATTCAATTAAATGCTCCTTGTTTATAAAACAAGCTTTGGAACGAAGGTAAACAACAATTTTCAAGGGTACTAAAAATATTTGCTCTTGTTTTTCTGGATAACATTTATAAATATTATATGAACGAAATTTATAGGCATTGCGCAAATTAAAAAGAAATAAACAACAATAAAACAGCCACTAGGGAGAGCTATAGAATCGATAAATATATATTTTATTTAAATTCTATATTTTTATGGTTAAAAAACGCATGTTAAAAATAACACAAATGTTGCATTTATTAATCTTCCGGTATATTTGTATTAATGCTGCTTGTAGGAACTTTTTTGCCAGGTTACTATAGTATTAAATGAAATGGCTATAAATTGACAGTTGATTCAGTTTGACAAAATCAAAATATGCAGTTTTAGTGTTTAGTGATTAAAAATTTTCATATTTAGCCAAAAAAACTGGATTACTCTCGGATAACTACTCTCAGATAGATTTTTTTGGAAATTTAATTTATGCTCTGCAAGAATCCGCGATGTAATTTTTTTTTATCGTAAACTTTTTTTATCGTTTCAAAGTTATGGCACTTTTAATGGAACACTTTGAATGCTCACCGACACCTTTTAAAATTGAGCTAAAAACCCCGCCTTCCGGGGATATTTTTT